CGCCGTCAGCACTCGCTCAGCAGTTGAGCACACATCATGGCGATCAAACTTAGGATACTTGAGTCCGTTAAAAGTACTCAAAAGCAAGTCATAATTTGCAAAAAAAAAAGGCATATGCAAGGGGGGGGGGGGGGGGGGGGGGACCTTAAATGTTAGGCATTGTAACTAAAGTAAACTGACATTCGGTCCTTGCTTTCAACCATACTGCGTCTCAGACTACATAAAAAAAAAGTAGCCAAGACAAGACAACACGCACAAATATGGGTATACCAAGCAGCCCGGAACGAACCTTGAGCCAAATGAAAGGAAGTTGACTCATTCTATAATGAGGAGAAAGCCAATCTAGGCGAAGCGACTTTCCCCGCTCGCTTCAGAAATTACGACGCGTACTCTGCGCCATTAACAGCCTCTTTTTCTCGGAAATAGCCGGACTCGCTGAATTAAGTTAGAGATAAAACCACCTGATGGTATGCAGAGCGTGATGCACGCTGAACTGGAAAGACGTGCTTAAACTCTAGAGCTGGGGGTCACTGGGGCAACCGGAGCTGTTTGTTTTACTCCGACGAACGAAAGCGAACAGTTCCATTAGAAAAGTTAACAGTAGACCCTTTTTCGAAATTCCGCCTGGCAACCTTGATCGCTATCATCAACTCAGTGTATGCTAAGAGCAAGTTCGTCAGCTTCTTGCGCAGGGGTTGTGGTGACGTCAGAACGATGCCGAGCTCTGATTGGCTTTCAATGAAAGGATTGGGGGTAGACCTCAATTCTAGATACCTTAATTGGTCTACCCACCATTTTGTTTTTTTTCCAATTAGCCAATAAGGGCTCGACATTCTGTCACATCATCGCAACCCCTGTGCAAAAAGCAGACGAACTTGCCCTCCGCCTATGGCGTCTGTGCCAAGCTAATGGCGGTCTTGTTGAGCCTGTTGAAGAAACAAGTCGAAGATACTACTAAGCGGAGGACATATGGAGCCTGCACGTTCGAGACGTCGGTACAACACGATGCGTGAATTAGATACAACGACTGCGTACGTGTTTACTTTGGGTTGGGGGTCCGATCAGTCTTTTGGCGCAAGTTTGGCGCTAAAGCCCTTTGATGACGGTAAGTTAGTCGAGGCGCTTCGTACCGGTCAGATCTTATGTTCACACCTCCGAAACTGAAACAAATCAAGAACTAATGTGCCCACCGCCAGGGGAAACACATGTTATGTCCGCTAGGGTGCTTGTCGAAAGTGAAACTGCTTTTTGAGTACGCTAAAGTCGGAGTATCTGTCCGGTAGTCTGATCAAGTAACATGCAAAACTGAAGTATGTTGTAGTATGTCTACGTGGCAGGTGAGTAGATGTGTCAGGCATGACGAGATACGTCCATATGTTATAAATAAAGTTCCGTTGTTTTTTTGTTTTGTTTGTTTGTTTGTTTGTTTGTTTTGTCCTTTTTTTTTGTGCAAAAATATTGATTAATTTTTGAAAATTAAGTCCCGAGACAGCCTTCACCAAGATCGGAGATACTCGAAAAACACCGAATTGGAGGTACTTTAATAATAATAATAATAATAATAATAATAATAATAATAATATTTTATTCCAGCATTTGATTTTTTTCATTATGTTAGACTCGGGTCTGTCGAAGCCAGGGTTGGCTTGTGTGACACGACCCAGCAATGATGTTACCCAATGTGAGTGGTAGACGGGCGTTCTTGGTATGCTAATAGCAGTCAGTTTAGAAGTTCAAAAATAGTTCACAAATGGCAGTCAGTAGAAATATTTGAAATAGTTCACAAATGGCAGTCAGTATAGATATTTGAAATAATTCACAAATGGCAAAATAAGAAGCACAGAGATTATTGCTATAACTACACTATACCATCCTTCATGGCAAAGCAATATTTAAACACATGGATAAATCAATGTACACTTTCAAAAAGTAATAAAAAAAGTAAATGTTTGGGAAAAAAAGAAAACGGATATGTGTATACAAGCATATATCACACAAAGATGCTCAGAGGCATATATATATACACAAATTTAGATCTACAGATGCGTTCAGGGATACACAAATATACAGTACTCACAGCATAGACACGGATAAAGACACAAACAAATGCCTATGTGAATTCATCACCAACTGAAGAAAGGTCCAAAGAGTTCAAAATGTTATTCGCAAAAAAAAAAAAAAAAATGCATACATGGTTTCTAGCACATTTTTTTCAGGTGCTTTTTTAAAGATCGTAGAGAATCGAGTTGATTAAAAACGTCTGGTAATTTGTCGAAGATGTAAATAATAATAATAATAATAATAATAATAATAATAATAATAATAATAATAACAATTTACGGAACAATTTTTTTTTTCTACGGCTTTCATTTATGCGGATTAAGAACTCAGTTTGCAATGACCAACCCGCGAGGCTTCTTCCTTCTTCAGAACAATACATCCTAGCTCGTGCTTTGTTCTCGGGTAAAATAGCTTTTTTCTTTGCGTTGGTGTCCCGGACGCTGGAGAACCCCATGCCCGTGTCCTATTTTTTTCGACTTAAACCCCAATCAACTTCGATTCGGCTTCCGACACCAAAATATTGATACCGAAAATCATAAAATCTATGCGAGAAATAAACTCCCCCAAAAAACACCCCCGACTTCGAAGAAAAATAAACACTGAAAACAAAAAAAAAAAAAGAAATTATATATATATATATATATATATATATATATATATATATATATATATATATATATATATATATATATATATATATATATAGTTATATATATATATATATATATAGTTATAAAAGTTAAAGTAGTCGCTGCTGTCTTTGGAGCAAAATTTGGGTCCACCTCTTGTGTGTACTGATGACATAACACGAACAGTGGCGCATAGATGGGCGTGTGCCAGATATGCCAGGATGCATGTAATATCTAACCTACAATACTACATCATGCCCACTGTAAATTGACATATTGTATCACAGATAACGTAATACAGTATTCCTTTTTTTTTCTCACAAAGATGTCGATGTTATATGATGTACTTAGTGGGACTGTATATATGCTTTATAAAATGAGAAAATTTACATCTAATGGTATATAATTGTGAAAGAAACAACCGGTGTTTATAAGTAGAATGTTGCATGAGCATAAACCTTTAAATAAACATAAAATACGAAGGGCAGAAAAAATCACGCTTAGGAAAAGTTAATAAACGAACAAAGCGAACTGTCAAAATATTGCTCTTGAAATTTGAAACGACTTTTCACTGGGTCATTGGGCAAAACATTTGACAAGTCATAATGGTTGTAGCAGAACAAATCTTAAGAAAAAAGGATTATAAGCATTTTATCACTTACAACATTCATATTTCTTGTACTCAGCATTGAACAATGGTAGTATATACCATATTCCTAGCGCACACTCACATAAACCGTAAACATTTTCAAATTACAGTATATAAACACATCAATGTTATATGCAAAACTGAAAAAAAGTAAGACACTCATAAGCTTCTTTGCGTGTTACAGCAATATTTATATATTTGTTACATACAAAGCAAGAGAAAGCACTACAGCTAGGTTTCTAAATATAAGTTAATAACTCGTCCCTATGTATCCAGGGATGGGCAGTATTTCAAATACAAGTATTTGAAATACGTATTTCAAATACTTCGTGTATTTTGCATTTGTATTTAATTACAAATTGGGTAATGTATTTGACGTGTGTACTTAAATACTAAAACATGGGTATTTCAAATACAATTGTAATTAAATACAATTTTGTGCGCGAAAATACATCCCTCCAATTTATTGTCACTGTCCAGAGCAGGAAGAAAACTACGTTCTGCACCGAATGCAGTGTCTCTCAATCAAGCACAAGCGTTTAGTGACTTTGTGATTACGGTGCTAATCCAGGGCAAGATAGTGACGAAATCGACGTTCACGGGCAGACTGGATAAATAAGTGCCTGTGACAACTTCTGATGCTTTTCAGCCTGATTTCCATCCATATTTTTGCCTGGAACATTCTAAATGCGTGGGTCGTTCAGATTTTCGTAACTGGTGCGAGTTGCAACAATAAAAAATTACCTAATTAGTGCTGCGCGTCTTTTCGTCTCGGTTCTTTGTTGGTCTACACCAAAATGTAATCGACAAAAAAGCTACTTGAAGCTCTGTACTTTTCTGCACCTATTACGTCCAGGCTGATTACATTTTTTTGTAATTATATTTCTATTACATTACTAGAGCCTCGCACAATAACTCCCGAGTATGCGATGCAAAATTAAAATGAGATACCCAGAAACCCGTAGCAGGTGCCCTGAAGTCGCTGACGCAAATTTTGAGGAATGTATTTGGAAAAGTATTTGGAGGAGATTAAATACATTTGGTTGTATTTGTATCTTGTACTTAAATGCTTTTTTTGGAAATGTAATTATATTTTTAATTAAATACATTTTTAACAAAGTATTTTGTATTTGTATTTAGATACATATTTGCATGTATTTTGCCCATCCCTGTATGTATCCAAGCACAGACCCCCAGCACGTATAACAGTAGTACCCAAAACTTTACGCCCGCTCGAAGCAGACGGGACGTTCTCATCCATGGCCGACCAACAGGTCGAAATCGTTATCCAACAGGCGTCAGGGATTACTGCCGCATACCGACACGACAACCCCAAGCTATTCACTGCCCATAAAAGAACGTTATGAAACCAGGCACGTGCAACGCCACTCAGATTCCATTGTCACTACACGCGGACATGGAGTCATCAAGTGATAAACGCGAGTGCGTCAAGCACTGCGTGAAGTCAACCACTGTCGTTGACCACACCCACACCCCGGAACCGGCACCTTATTGGAGTGTCGTAAACGATCCGGGAAATGGATCTCGACTAAATTTCGGCACCCAGCGTCGTCGGCGCCCGTTTCCGTGTTTATGACAAGCCAACTACCCCGCAATCTGATAACATACGAGCGAAAAAAAAAGTATATCTATCTACTCACTTTATGGGAACGGAATCGGACGACAGGAGGGGTATATCCGTCTGCAACACACCACTAACGACCGTTGCGCCGCGTCGTCTGCTAACTTCGTCTGCTAACCGCGAACCCGGCTAAAACATGGTGGCAGCAGAAATTCTCGGCTCGCTCCACGGCGCAGCACGCACGCAAACTCCACCAACACACACAACGCCCCACAGAAAGACTGCCGCCGCGCCAAGCGAAGGGTAGCCGAAGTGTGGGGAGAGGAACCGGAGAGGAAAAAGCAAGCAAATAAAGATGGAAAAGCCGCGCCAAAAAGCGTGTGACGGCGACTCGTAAATATCAAAGGATAAGAAGGAAAAAAAAAGTAGGTAAACTGGTTGCGGCCTCCGCGAGTCGGCGCTGTTGGACGACGACGGGCCGGCTTCGTTTGCTTCATTCAGTCGCCGCCAATTTGTTTTGTCTCTGAATTTTCTCTTCTCAGCTGGAGGGGAGAAGAGAAAGGAGACAGGAGGGAGGACTAACACAGGATGAACTCTGGGATATGGTCCAAGCGCGCGGAATGCTGAGATTTGTGGAAGCGCGCACAAGGTGGTTTCGTCGTCTGCGATTCGTGCTGTTTCGTACAATACGATTTTGATATGATCTCGCCTCCCCATCGAATACCACGTCGTGGGACGCTTATTTAAGATAACGGCACTTGTTTGAGGTAAATGTTGAGGAAGGTAAATTTCGGCAGGTTGAATTAGGTGAAATTATTAAAAATCAGTCATAATTTCATACTTTCAATTCATAATTCCACCGGGAAGGAGAGATTTTTTTTTGTGTTCCACAACCATTAAAGTACTGTCTTTTCGCATTCCCTGTTGAAAACAGAAAATTTTCTCCTATGATCTGTTCTGTAAACATATAAGGCGGTATATAAATTTTATCAGAAAACAGTCATATAACTTTTTTTTAACAAGTAGGGTTGTGATCTGCGAGATTATGCAGCATTTCAAGTTCCCATGCATCATGTCACAATACATATATACTATGTATATATAAGTTTCTTGATCAGAATGAATCAGCAACGGAAGCAGGTTTTTATTTTATGAATGGGAAAGGAATGGAGAAATTAGATAATGTGCATCCTAGGATATCGTGTTCGTATGTCCTTGCCCCGGACAACCTAGGGTGCCTCAATGTCCCTCTGTTTAGGGTGATGCCACCCTTTGTAGTACACGATGCCGACAGCACGCGCTCACGGGTAAAATGCAAAGAAATTGACGAAAACAAAATGTCGCCATAGTACAGTCAGCGCCAGAAACGCCTGCAGGGACACGCTCTTTCAACAACAAAGAAAAATAAACGTGCGGGACAAAATGACCAGATGTCTCCACCCTAAGCAAAGCGCACATAAAGGCACCCTGGGACACCCCATTGTCGATAAGTAGTATTTAATCAGGTGAAAGTGATTCCAATCCTCCATGGTTTTATTTTCTTAAAAAACAAACTTTTGCATAGCGATTGTTTTCAATAAAAAAAAAAAAAATGTGGTATAAATCGGGAGCATCGGAAAGCTGTAAAGAGTGGTTCAGCTCAAAGCCCTCCTTCCCTCAATAAGACATCTCACTACTCCCCCACTGCGCTTCCGGCTCGGGGCAAGACGTAACATCCGGTGGCTGACCGCGCACTCTAATCTGTCGTTTCTCTTTCTCTGCTTGTCCTTGGCGGGGGTCCGGTGTTGCGAGACGATGTCTGCTACTCCGTTTTAGAAATGATGCCAAGTTCTTTTTTTCTCTCCTTCTGTCCCGTAGCCTCGTTGGTCTGACCGCGGACTAAAGTGACGCATGCCGACGCAGTCGTAGTGACTAAGGCCCGGCGTGACTAGTGGCGCGTCGAAAAGTCACGCTGTAGTAACTGACTAACGTTTTGAAGTTACCTCAATGTCCGTTCCTCTTCCTTACTTCCACCCGCAGACCCATCCCAACTTTCAATTTACGTCCCACGCAAATAACAAAAAAAAAAAAAAACTCCTAAAACACGGAATTTTAGTTATACCTACACTAGTGTTTGGCAAACTGTGGGTTACGACCACAGGGTCACGACAAATTCAGTAATTAAAGAAATTTTTAAAAAAGTGTTTAGTCGAAAAGCAACTAAAGAATGTAAAAAAAAACTATGCGAACTTGGCTTTTTTTTTTAAGCGTCGATGAAAACAAAGTAAAGGTCGCAGCTGAACCCCAAGCCGGAACTTAGAGTTACGATGTCCAAACTCCGAACTCTGTCCTCGTTTTGAGAAACTTTGCTCTTACAAACAAGCTCACTCTATTTCTTTGGAACAGTCATTCCATCTAAACTGCGTTTACGTCGTATGTTTGTTTTTTGTTGTTATTTTCTCGTTGGTTGTTTTTAGCTTAGCTGATTCACTCGCGTCAATTATGTGTTTTACTCTTCGTGCACTGAAATCGAAAAGCTCCTTGCAGCGCGAAAAGCCGGGTATTGGGCACAATGTTTATTTTTAAAACGTTTATTGATTGATCGCAGGGTAGCAGGGTTTAGGAAGCTGTACACTACGCGAAGTACTTCTTGCGAGATTTGGGTGTCAAATAAAAAGCAAAAACGCAGCTTTTTGCGCTACGTTTTGCTCTTGCGTATTGAGCTGTGGGGCATCAACGTACAAGTCAATCTAAAAGAAGGGCTCGCATAACCCACAACAGGGTTATACCAAGGTTGTCAAGTCCACAGGAAATTGCTGATGGCGCGAATATATAACCTACCAAATATTGATTAATTAAATAGATTTCTTTACTCTCTTTAATCTAATTACTATTGAAGAAACGAAGCATGGTGGCAAAATTTCATAGAAGAAAGCTTACATCGGAGAAATCTCCAACACATTAACTGAATAAAAATAAATAGCATTGCGCTGTATGTAAACATTATTGTTGGACAACGAGTTAACTGGACAAATGGCTTCAAGTCGCTTTTGTTAGTGGTCGTGCGATAAAATTATAATGTTATTAAAGGCTTCATTTGGATTGACACCCTCTTTAAACATACAGCCCAGATCACCGTTTATTAAAGCATGGCGCAGTAATTTAGCACAAAGATTTGGTAAACTATGAATTGACTACATTAAATAACCAGTATTTTATAAAGTTCATTTAGAAGGTACTTGAAGTAAAGTACAAAGGGTTATGTACTTCAAGTAAAGTAGTAAATACTCCGCGCACAATTTATTCGAAGTAAGGTACCGTAAAAATTCGAACCCAACTCAAATCGAGAGAAAATTGGGGAATATAAGGAGTAAGCTAACTTTCGGTGTGCAATAAAAAAAAAAGTATAAAAAATCCTATTTTTAGATTACGTGTCTCTGTCAAACTTGTTGTCGCGGCGAGGGGCAATGAAGCAAAGACGACTGCACTTCCCAGTCAGCACTGTTCGCTTAGATACCGCCATAGCTAACTAGACGCATTTACGCCGAGGTCATCGCTGATCCCGACACTACGATTACTAGGAGTGGGCTGTCTTTCGGAGTTTAAAAGAGAATAGCAAATCAAGCCAAAAATAGGGGTGGGTGACTTTTCGGGGGTGGGGCATCCCCCGGGATTTTACGGTACTATAAATACATTGTACTCGCAAAGTAAAGTAGAAGTACTTTTTAAGCACAATCTTTAATGATTTCCTTTCATTCGCTCTACAGATTTTTTTTTTTTTAATTGGAGTACATTGTTTTGGGGGTAATTGGGAGAGCATCAGTTTATTTTTTGGAAATGGCGGCGATTATTGGATAAAGTCAAGTAACCACAGAGAAGTTGTTTTACTCTCGCTGATGAACTATATTCAACACAATCAACTTCTAAGACACCCGTTTGTATCGGTATTATAGCCGCCATTGCTTACAGAAATGACCGGATAACGTCTCGAAAGACGATAGCACGTGTTCACATAATGACCATAACCCTTTTTCTTCTTCTTTTTTTTTTTTTTTTTTTTTTTTTTTTTTTTGTTAGAGGTTGATGTGTTCATATATATACTCGACCTCGAAAGTTGTTTAGTATAGCACTGAGAAAGCCAAGGACGCGAGCGTGTGTTCCTTGAATGAGTTTAATTTCATCGAGCGTAAGAAGGCACTTCTCTGATTAACGCGCTCGTCCCCGTGCCTTTTTCAAAACTTTACGCAGCCATAACACCCTAAAAAAAGAAGTGTTACCTTACACTTTTTTGTCCCATATAATTAGGGTGTGTACTTTCCGGTGTTTATTTGTGAGAAAAATCGGCGGATGTTTTTCGGTGTTTATTTGTTTTCAAAACACTGGTGTATTTCGGTGGAACGTGTCACGACAAGGCTAAAATCGGTGAATATCGGTGAAAAAAAAGCGATTGATCACATACAGAGAGTTCCGATTTTATTCACATAGTTCATACACTTCTTCTCTAGGAAGCAACTATTTCTCACACTTTGTTATCATAGTAGATGCAAGCATACTTTCATGCTTACATCTACACGCAAGGAACGTGCTGCCGTCATGGCAGCACGTTCCTGGCGGTTTGCAACCCGCAAGGATGAAAACGCACGCTCCTGTACGACACGGACGTTGGCAGTGTCTTCCAGGAACCACAGCAACCTCTGAATACATGGCTTGCACCGACATCACTTGGCCAGACACAATGAGAAAAAGGCACGTGAGAGCCTACCCTCCACTGTGTTAATTTTTCCACAAAAGGGGGCCATGGGAGACACAATAGGGGAAAGGCGTATGAGAGCTTAGCTTCCACTGCGTTCACTAGACGCTTTTGACCCCCAAAAAGGAGGGCGCACTGACGCCACCTGCAAGCCATGTATAAACACTGGAAGAATGCAGGATCCACGAGATAACGCGTTCGCTAGGTCGGAAACTAACAACGACCGGTGTTTTTCGGTTTTAACCAGGGCGTAAATATCCAACCACCGGTGTTCTTCGGTTTTAACCGATTTTATATTTTCGTCACCGACGGATGTTTATCGGTGTTTTTCGGTTAAAACCGGAAAATGCACACCTTACATATAATGCACACCAAACTCTTCAATTCGACGTACAGCGCACTATAGTCGAACATACGGCCCCAAATGTTACGAGGGGCTTGACAACGGTGCGATATAACTTATTAAATAGCTAAAGTACGTATCAAAGACCCCGCCCTCCCCCCCCCCCCCCCCCCCCAAAAAAAAAAAAAAAAACAGATTGTGCAGGGGGCCAAAAAAAAACCCGATTATTTTTATTATTTTTTTGTAGTCAATAACACGTGCATTAACTATTTTAATAAGTTGTACCCCACGGCTATCAAGTCCCTCGTGAAAGTTTGTACCATCAGATCGAC